TATGCTGGGAGTTATCTTTTGAGATAGTCATTTACACAATAGTACATTTTTGCATGTAATAAACAATAACTTCCTATTTTGGTGACAAATAAAATGTAGGTTGGACATTTGTAACTTAAAATCTGATAATCCAAAATTTTCCAAAATCTGAGACTTCTTGAGTTCCAGCATGATGTGATTAATGGAAAATTCCACTTGTGACCTCAGGTGGTAGGTTGTAATCAAAACACTGGTGCACTAAATGTGTACAAAATTATCATCAGGCTAGGTGTACAATGTATATATGAAACAGAAATGAATTTCGTGTTTATACTTGGGTTCCACCTGTAAGCTATCACATGATTGTATATGGAAATATTCCAAAATCCAAAAAAATCTGAAGCCTGAAATTCTTTTAGTTTCAAGCATTTTGGACAGTGGATACTCAACCTATAATAGCTAGAAGTGCTTACTTTAGGCCGATCCCTTGTGTTAAGTATTGTATAACTATTCTCTAATAATTTATTATAGTAATTCATTTAATTCTCCTTGTAGCTCTACTTTTACCCCCATCTCACAGATGAGGAGCCTTAGGGTTGGGGAGGCTGACTTACTGACCCATAATCACACAGCTAGTGGGGGTGTGGATTTGAGTCCCAGTAATCTGACAGTAAACCTACATTGTTTAACTATGGTGTAGGTTTTCAGCCATTCGGTATAAGCTGAACCTGGAATTCATTTCTCCTAAGCTTGTTTTGAGTAACTTTTAGATATGCAGCTAAATCTTATCACATAGATCCCTATGTTTTTCCAATGTTCAACCTCCTCTAGGCCATGAAATGTTATTGATATGTGTAGAAGAATGGTTTTATACTGATTCAGTCATCTCATTAGATCTGTGACTTCCAAAAAAATTTCAACTTGAATTACAGTTTTAGATTATGATCTAGTACATACATACATACGGTGTGGTTTGGATAAGTGCATCCCAAAGGTCTCTATACTGAACGCATGGTCCTCACGGTGGGGCTGTTGGGGAGGGGCCTCAGGAGGCGGAGCCTAGTGGGGAGTCTCAAGGTCACTAAAGCCGTGCCCATAATGAGGATTATGAGGTGAGCAATTTGCTCTGCTACTCACCACTGCCATGATGTGCAGTCCTACCACAGGCCCAAAGCAACAAGGCCAACTGATCATGGACTGGGACTTGCAAAATGGTAAGTCTACATAAACCTTTTCTTCCTCCTCCTCCTCCTCCTCCTCCTCTTCTTCTTCTTTTGTAAGAAAATGGTTTTATTCCTAATTTTTAGTTCCATACTGTTTACAAATACACTTTTACTCTGATAATACAGCTTTGCAACTAGCAAAGCAGTTGAACTAACACTCATAAATACAGGTGGGGAGACAATTAACATCCACTACCTTATTCTGTTAATGTCATTTTCTAAAAAAACAGTTGCAAACAGACTACATAACATATGTGGGCAAAAGGCAATTAAGTGAATCTCTTGAAACACTATATGTATTATAAACAGCATATTTTCAACATTTACATGATTCATGTCAAAATGATGCAATCCTAAAATATATTCCTTTTAAAGGATAGATTTGGGCCGGGGATTTAGCTCAGTGATTCCACCGCCTGCCTCGCAAGCGCAAGGACCTACCAAAAAAAATACTGGTAAATGATAGATTTATCAATAAAATATTATATATCTTTTAATACTCTGGTACAGTACTTAATACACTGCAGGAAAATTAAATGTAGGTCTAGCCATCAGCTTAATAAAGGATCTCTTTCCATTAGCTTTCATTAATGAAAGAATTACAATTAGGTCATAAATAAATAGGAAAATTATTAATTACATGATCTGAGGTTTAAGATGAAAACTTGTAAAAGTTAATTTGATATACAGCAAAGTTACACAACACACTAACACCAACTGTTTGATATTTTTGCCTTGTGTGAACTGCCCATAGTGAAACCTTTCCTTCTTCTAAGTTGGTTATCTTAGGTATTTTGTTATAGTAATGGAAAGCTGACTAACACACATAATTAAATCGTGACACTGTTTAAGTGGTATATGTTTTGATAGTATCCTGATCTGTTCTCTTGTATTCTTATTCTATTTGACTAAAATTAGGTGTTTTGATACCAACTAAATTTCATTCCTCACTAATAGGCCAGAGCCCACATTTTTTTTTTTTTGGTATTGGGGATTGAACTCGGGTCCTTGCGCTTGCGCAGCAGGAGGTGAAACCACTGAGCTAAATCCCCGGCCCCAGAGCCCACATTTTTGAAAAATAATCCTTTAGCTGGATAACTTTTGCCTTTCTTTAGAAGTTCTCTGCTCAGTGTTGTACATTTCAGCATCCCTGTTGAGGATTTTTGACGTTGTGAGGAATAGCCGAGATAAAATCAGTGCTAGAGGACCGTGAAGAGGTGGTGTTCTCACTCTGAAAGAGGTCAAGCCTATAAATCTGGCTTATTTTGGAGCACTGAGAACCGTAACCTGAGATCCAGTGCCCCAGCAGTGATACCTAGAAGGGTACAAAATCTAATCAGCCAGCAAATAAGAGGTTGGAAGACTGATGCACTTGGGCAAAGGGTTCTGGAAGAATATTCAAAGATGAAAATTATCTTGGATTTGTAGTAGTTCCCCACCTGCAAGTCACCCCTCAGCCTTCAGCAGTACCTCGAGGAGAACTCAAGTGGCTCATGAAATTGGCCAGAACAGATTCAGTTGCTGAGAAGTGCCGCAGCCACTGACTTGCTTGTCACTGTGGTGTCCAGGGCCACACACTTCTAGCAAACGTAATGAAAAGGAGGCATCAAAGTGAGTTATGGAAAACAGTTGAGCATGGTCTGTTCTGTTTTGCCATTCTTAGACACTAGGTGTTGTTCATTTATTTGGTTTCTTATTTCTCTCTTTGGGTGTAGTTGATAGGAAAGGGCTTCATGCTAGTAGTTAATGTTTATCTAGTGTCACCTACAGCCTTGACACTTGCTTACAGCCTTATGTAGATTGTTTCCTTGAGTCCTTACAAAAACCCAATAAGTAGGTGATTATTTGCTTCATTTTACTAATGTGCACATGGAGGTTTATGAAAGCCATTGGACTTCTCAGAGATTACACAGTGAGTATGTGGTAGACATGGATAGAAACAAAACAGTCTGAATGTAAGGTTATTACTGGGGACTAAATCTCAGCCTGATGGTTCTACTTGTCTTCATTGTCCCTGGGAGGTGAGATTCACAGGAGGGTGTAGAGATTTGTGTGGAGGCAACAGGCACTCTTTCGTTCTTTCAGTTTGTATGTACCATCTTCTTGTGTGATTGAAAATACAGATTTTTGGAAAAATTATTGCAATAAACAATGTATTGCCATGAATCTCCTTCAGAATACTTCCCCTTACTTCAAATACACTTATCCAGTCATTCTTGCTCTTTCTGAAGCAGTTCTTGTGCTTTTTCATGATTGTCTTTACTTGCACTACCATTGCTGCCTTGATAGTGTGAATTGGTTCAGAAGTTTCCCTGTCATGTTTGTTTTGACTTAGGGGAAGAGGCAGAAGTTGCATGGTGCCAGATTTGGTGAATGAGGTGGGTGAGGATGCAACAGCATGTTTTTATGGGCCTGCCTTTCTGTGGATGGTATCAGCAGCACCCTTCACTACACTTTTCATTGTATCTTATAGAGACGCTCAGGAAAGAGGACTTCCAGAACTGCTTCAGAAAATGGCAAGAATGATGGACAAATATGTTAAAAGAGAGGGGGAAGATTTTGAGGTGGATTCATGGCAATGTGTCTTTCAGTGTAATAAATTTTAAAAATTGAAACATTCACTGTATATTGTAATCACACATTGTACGTGGTGCAGTGGGTCCTGCAAGTGAAACTTCTACTCTTTGTCTTTCAAGATTCTCATTGTTTTAGGAAAAGCTGAATAGTACTGGATGCTCATATGAAAGAGATTGGAACTTAGTAGTTTGATGGACTATCAGGAGGCTAAGGAGGGGATTGGAGAACATGCGTGACACTCAGGGTGGGCAGATCTTGGAGGAGCATGCATCGTGGCTGACAATGGGAAATTCTGTGAATGATCTAGCAAAGCACAGGGTCAAGAGATGTGGGTGACAAATACATGGGAAACCATGGAAGCTGTGAGTGGCCTCCAGGAGGCCTGAGCAGCCAGGAGCAGAAAAGCCCAGCCTTGGGCTGAGATTCTGGGACTTGACCTCAGTTTCTGGATGTCTTGCAAAGTTGGGGGAGTGGCAGGGATGGAAGAACTGAGCATCTAGAGCTGAGCAGGGATCAGCCTGAGCTTAGAGATGAGGGCCGAATGGATCTGGGTGTGGAAATGGGAACATTGGGAATAGTAGGATGGGTTGTCACTATGTTAGTAACAAGGACACAAATGGCTTTGTTCAGAGTGGCACTTCTACAGGGCAGAGTATACCAGGAGGCAAGGTGAAATATTAAAAATGATAACTTACAAAAGAAAATAAATCTACTAGTTTCTGGCTTTTTTTTTTTTGAAAGGAATAACAATATCTTGACAGGGGCTGGAAAATAATTAAGTGCACATGCATGTGTGTGTGTATGTGTGTGTGCGTGCACACGTGCGTGTGTGTAAGGGACTAGGAGAGTATTAGAAAGTCTTCTTCTGCACGACAGCCCCCTAACCATTTGGAAGTGAGAGCACCAACAATAGCTACGATTTAACAGTCACCGACTCTTCAAGCATATTCAATGGCTAGAGAAGATTCAATTATTCTTAAGAGATTTAAGGTGATCTCAGCTTATTTTGCTGGTTTGTATTTTATTGGTGGCTGAAGGCAAATGATTGCAAACTCCAGAAAGCTCTTCGAAGTGGAGGTGGCTGGCTGGTACCAGCCTCTTGCTCTCCTTGCTGTCCCCTCAGCTGTTATTTAGAAATCTTGCAAGAATCAAACACATCTACTGTGAAGAAGTTGCCATCGATAGTACTTTTCATTTGTTCTTTCTTTTACCTTTTCCCAGGAAGATAGCGACAGCACAGAGCAAATCCCACTTTTAATTCGTAGAGGAGCGTTGCCATTCATATCCGACGGACGATTACATTCTGAAATCCCAGTGAGTGTGAGTTTTATTTCCGACTTTTTGTGACTCACCCTTTTCTAAGGTGCTTTCCCTGTATCTGTAAAATGGAACAATTAATCTCCACCCACATTATGAAAATCAGCTACAAATGCCTGATGTACATTTCCAGTTTCTTTTGGAGAAACATAAAATATTATCATTGTGTGGAATTGATAAAGCTTAGAACCTAAGTGTGCATTTGTAGGGCACTAGAACATGATAAATGCAACTGAAACAGACAAACCTGGATTACAGTATATACTGACTTAGAGTCTCTGGATAACAAAAATGTCTCCCAAAGGAAATTTAAAAAATCAAGACCAGAATAAAAATATTTGTATATAACATTTAAATTTTCTTAGGTCTTCTTGGCAGTTAAAAATCTAAGCCAGTGCCTTCCAAGCTTTGTTTGTAATTTGTTTTTATTGTTTTTAAATGATATATTCCATGGGAAATCAAAAGGTAGCCTGTGGATAAGGTGTTTGGTGCTCAAATAAGTTAAAGAAATGCTAGGTTGAACCAATAAAATGAAATGGTTTTCTTTCTGTGCGTCGTGCGCCTCCAAAAGAGGGAAATAGTTTGCAGCATTTCTAAGCTTCTTTATCCAGGGAATACAATTTGGAAAAAGCTGTGATGGGCCAGAAGCAAATTCAAAAGTGCTTATATTTAAAATGACTTTGGTTGCGTAAGTGTTCTTGGTAACTAGTAATACTGGGATTAAATTATTTTCATTCTTTTGTTCATCTGTCAAGCTATGAGTATTTAAAATTAATACTTTAATATCCTTTCTGGGAGATTTTACAGCCTGCTTATTACATAAATATGTAACTGACCATATAATACACGATTCTGTTTTTAGGTGCAGGACTAGGCTCTTCATACACACATGTACATCGATAATGCACTTATGGGCGCAGTATAATTCTGTTTTTTAGTTGTTTTCTGGGCTTCTTCTGCCTCTGTCTGAACTCACCCTTCCTTTTCTCTGTGTTTATAAACAGAAATGGGCAGATGATTCAAGGAGAAGCAGCAATATAAATACTATTAATGGTGGCTCATAAATCATTCAGTTTAATCAAGATTTCTTATGTATGTAGTATTTAACAAATCACTTTAGTCTCCTTGAAATTAAAAGAAAACTCTGTAAAAAGCCATGATATTGGAATTCTTTTTCAAAAAATTTTCAAAGAATATTAGGGTCCAGAATATACTGTAAATAGGTTTTGTCTGTGTTTGGTGAGAGTTATCAGGATTCTGGCAGGAGAACAATGTTTTAACTTGGCTCCTTGGAGACTTGCTGAGTTAAATAGCTACAAAATTTAGCAGCAACTCTTGGAGGCTAGAGTTTGAATTGTCACTGCCATAATTTTGGTATTGTCCAATTTACCCATTAAGGCTGGGAGTGGTGATGCATGCCTATAGTCCTAGCACTCGGGAGGCTGAGGCAGGAGAATTGCTGTACATTTGAGCCAGGGCTTCTTAGTGAGTTCAAGGCCAACCTGAACTACATAGCAAGACCCTGTTTCAAAAAAAAAAAAAAAAAAGAAAATGAAAAAAAATCCTTATTTCCGTATGGTGCTAGAGGCCCAGGGTGTAGCTGGTCCCCAGTTACCTGCTGCTAATGGTGGTCCTGTCAGCTCGTCTTTCCATTGAGTCTTCTCAGGGCATCAGGGACCACACGTGGTTCCATCTGATGAATGTGTCACTTTATTCTCTTGGGTTGCTTAGGAATTGTTTTGAGTAGGATGAGAAAGAGCTTCCTTTCAAATGAGCACTGTTTCTCTAATGAGAAAGTGATCAACGCTTCGAATTTCTCCTGGGGAAGGAACTGGCAAGAAAACATTTTCCTCTGGAGCTGTGTGGTTTAAGTGCCACAAAGACACAGCAATGGACATCGTGAGGACCCTTGGACACAGGACTCCGAGAGGCAGGGGTGGAGTCTTCTGGGACGAACACTTTCTGTTGACCTGCTTCCTGCTGCTTCTGTCTCTGCATTTCCAGGCATACTATGAGAAATGGTTCTCAGAAGAGCCATTGTCGTCCACCCCAGGAAGAGCCCATGACAAAACAAATAGTTATTTCTGGAAACATTTTGGCCTGTTTAGCCAAAGGAGATAAATATTAAATGATTTCTCTCCAAACATAATATGTGCTATTGAGGCCAAATGTCAAATATCTCCGAAAGAACATGGTGGAAAAACAATTGTGATTTTGAATGGAAATGATTTTTATTACCGGTTCAGGATTTAGACCTTTATAATGGCTACCCATGCATGATGTCCTTGCCTGCCTCAGTCACAGACACTGGAGATTTCTGAGGAAGCTGTTTGTGCTCTCTGATGTGTAAAAGGGAAAAAGAAGTCTTTTTGTAGTGCTGGGAATCACACCCAGGGCCTCACACATTCTAGGCAAGTGCTTTTCCACTGAGCTCCTCTCTCAGCCTTGATCTAGGAAATGGGGATGAAAGTATCAGGCCAGTCCACGCATTCCCAAATTCTCACTGTTAAAAATCAATCAGCGAAAACATTTCTACTCAGAATACCATTAAGCCCTGAGCCACTGTGAGGTGATATTGGTGTGATTCTTCTGATGCCTCAGGTAGTGTGGAAACTGACTTGGGTTCTGTTGTCTTTGGCGACAGCAGGAAGTAGGTAGAGGAAAAGGAGCATTTATGCCTTTGGAGATGAGCAGGCTGCAGTGGGCTGTGGGCCGGAGTGAATTGCCTTTGCTGCTGCAGGAAGAACCTGTACTTGGCAAGAGAAAAGGACAGGGAGACGATGAGAATACGTTTAAGATTCCCAGCCCATGTTGCTGGAGAGTGCTAGTAGCACCTTGCTTGAGCCATGCAGATGGACAGAGCTACAATTCCCACCTGAGTAGCTGTTGCTGACAGGTGTAGGTTTTAGATTGAGTTTGCCATGGGGACAGTGTGGGTCTGGTGGCCTTGGGGGTCAGAGAGCTCTGGGGAGCAGCAGGTTGGCTGCAAGCTTGGAAACAGGCCCAAGGAAAAGCATGGCGAGAGAACCAGGCCCCCTTAGCCTCCTGAATGGAAGGGATCCAACACTGGTTCTATGTAAGCAGCTCTCTCTTCTATAGCACAAAGCACCTTTGGGCTAATGAAACAAGTAAAGGGAAGGAGATGTATTTAGGGACCATCAGTGAAAAGGTAAAGACAATGAAATCTGATCCCTTGTTGCTACTGTTTTTAGTGCCCACAGTCCTGGGGCCAAGGGCAGGGGGCATTGGATTTAGGGACAAATGGATTCAACATATCCAACCCTAAATCTCTTGTTTCTGCCTCTCTGCCTGGCAGCCTCTTTCTCTTATACTAGTTGCTTCTCTGTTCAGCTGGAAACATGGCAGTGGGCAGCTCTGTCCTCCTTCATAGCTGGTGACCTCACAAAAACACAGGTCCTCACTAGCTCAAGCTACAAAATCCACAGGTGTAAAGGACCTCATGATCTGACAGCTCATGTGCCCAAATTTTGAGCCAATTACCAATCAGGTTTCATTAAATGAAGTTTGTCAATTGTAACGACATCAAAAAATACATGGACAAAAATTATTGTTTTCATTATTTTCTCCATCTCTTCTTTACTTGGGTCATGGTTACTTGTTTTGCAAAATCTGCTGCAAAGGTGACCTTTCCATGAGATCTCTTTTAGCCCCTTGGGAATGGGTTGAGTGTCTCTTCTTTGTGTGCTGTAATGCTCTGTGACTCCCTTGTGACTCACGGATTCACCCCTAGACTCTGGGAATTTTGAGGGTAGAAGACTCTATGTCTGGTGTCTCTATCTTCTACATACAGTGAATGATCATACACCATGAGGCATGAGTTAAATGCACACTGAACTGAGGCTGCCTCTCAGAAGTTATTGTTGTTGTTATTATTATTATTATTATTTTGTACCAGGGATTGAACTCAGGACCTTGTGCTTGCGAGGCAGGCATGGTGCCACTGAGCTAAATTCCCGGTCCAGAAGTTATTATTTAAAGCAAATGCACAAACAGGATCTGTCACCCTGTGTCTGTCTCTGTAAGTCTAACCAGATACTAACTGCACTGAGGCCAGATTATCAGAAGACAATAACAAGAATCAACTTTTGTTGAATACTTATTATTATTATAGATAAGGAAACTGAGGCACAGACAAATAATGTGCTTAAGGCTCCACAACTAGTAAATAAATGGTAGGCATGATTTTCAAATGTAGTTAGTCTAGCTTGAGAGTCTGTGTTCTGAATTATAGGTTGCAAGTTCGTAGTGTTTTCGTAAATGAGTTTTAATTATGTACTATCTTCATAGAAGTAAGAGTTTTTGTTGGTGGTGAGGGAACAAACTCTCTAAATCTTATGTTTTGCTTCTCAGTCCCAAACTCAGTCACTCTTTTTATTAGTTGCTTTTTTGTTGCTTGGAAGAAATGCCTGACACATACAACTGAAAAGGTTTATTGTGGCTCAGTTTCAGAGCTTTTAGTCCATGGTTAGCCGGTTCTAAGAGGAAGCATCATGGCAGAAGGGTGTGGTGGAGGAAAGCTGTTCACCTCATGGCACCTAGGAAGCAGTGGACAGAGGAAGAACCTGGAGAGAGAAAGGGGAGGGGACAGGATGTACCTTCAAATGCATACCCCAGGGACCTACCTGCTCTAGCTAGGCCCCACTGCCTAATAACATCCAGCTATGAGCTCGTCATTGAGAAGATTAATACCCCTACAATCACATCACCTTCCAAAAGCCCCACCTCTGAATGCATGAGCCTTTTGGGGGGCATTGATGATCCAAACCATAAGACTCTCCCACACCAGCTTCCTTACCACCAATATCAAAAGACATGAGCTGAGCCAGCCTAGTAAGTGAAGGAGAAGCCATAGTGAGGGAACTCCAAGGGGTTCTGACAGGAACACCACCTTCCAGTCCAGGCAGAAATATGGCCTGCACACTTGCAAAGATAAATACCCCCGAGATTGTCTGTGCTGAGTGCTGCTGGGTGAATAATCCAGACAATAAAGGTTTTCTATTAGTGACAGTATTTTAAAAAGGGACAAAAATGTCTAGATTTGAGACCCAGGAGATGACGCACACCCCAAGAACTATCAGTTTCTCAAGCATTGTGGAGCTGTTGTAGTCACTTTGGGAGAAACCTGGTGCCTGTTTTGGCGCTCGGCTGTGTTCCTCACTGAATTATTCACCCCTGCTTGTCCTTGGCAAGTTGGCCACCCTGTCTGCATTGCACTTTAACCATTTTCCTCTGCTTGCTGGGTTAGTTATGAAAGCTAACCAGGTCATCTGTGAATATTCATAGCAGAGTTCTTAGCTCCCAGCCTTTCCTAAGTGTCGAGGACAAATCTAGAAGTTTGAGAAGTGGAGAGAAGTGCTGGCTGATTCACTTGGCTTTCTGTAGTAGTCCTGTGGGCTTTTAGAGAGGAGCATGCTGTGCAGGAATTCATTCCACGCTGCAGTGTCGTTTAATGGCGTGTGATCTCCCCAGTGACAAACTTCTCCACGGGGAGCCTTGTGGGTGCAGCTGTGAATTCAGCTGGGTGTCAGGGAGCACCAGAGATGTAAGCTGCCGGGATGAACCCAGACTTCATAAAAACAAGCCATCATAAGGTAGCTGCAGGTTCTTCACACTTCTCCAGACTGAGCAAAGCATTTTGCTGAAAAGTTGACCCACAAAAAATTCCTGATAATTCCCAACTGGTTTAAAATTTGTCTATGCGATTGAAACCAGGAGCATTTCATGTTCCCTTACATTCTGTTCTTCTAGGTTCCTGGGGATCTGTTTTTCTTTTTCTCACACTGTTGCAATGGTGACACCCACTTGCTTTTACTGTCTGGATCCTCTTCTCATAGGTGTCCATGGGAGCCAAGAGCCAGGATGAGGGGCAGGAAACAGACTCATCACAGCGTTCACTTTCCTGCCACCAAGTGGGAAGGCAGCAGGAGGAGGAGTGTTTGCTCTTTGTGGGCTGGAGCCCCCTGGATGATCATCTTAGACCATGGGCTTCAACTTCCCACCATGCTCCATGGGAAAGTCTACCATGAGTCTGCAGCAGTCTCCTGGTATAATCCTGATGTGAAGCAACTCAAAGGACCTTGACATTCGTGGCTCTGTTGAAGCCACAACCTGATCTCCAACATTTCCCTTCTGTGCCCGGCAGAACTGCTACCTCTCCTGGCCCCTCTAGTGTCTGGCTTACAGATAGGAGATAAAGATAGTCTTAATTCATTTTCTGTTGCTATAACCGAATAACTGAGACTGGGTAATTTATGAGGAAAAAGTTTATTTTGGCTCCTAGTTCTGGAGGCTGCAAAGATTGGGTGGCTGCACCTCACGTGGGCTTTTTGCTGCATTCTAGCATGATGCAAAAGTGGAAAGGAGAAAAGATCGCAACTGTTACTGTAGCTCAGCCATCTTCACCCGAAAGGTGCTGCTGATCCATCCAGAGAACTCTGGCCTCATGACCAGCACCTCCCGCTAGGCCCCGGCTCCCAACACTGCCTCCTGGGCCCCGCACCTCAGTGAGTTTCAGTGGGATCAAAGCATATTCAGACAATAACAAGGGAGGGGAGGACTCTACTTCTTAGTGGCATCTTTGTGCCTCAGTTTCCTTATATCCAAAATGGGGATAGTAATCTGGTAAAACGTGCTCAAGAATTACATGAGATTGGCATTGAAAGAGCTCAGGAAAGTGACTGGGACATGAGAAGCACTGGAGTTACGGCCTGGTGATGATACTGCACTGAGGTTAGAAGGTGGGGCCAGGCCATACAGGTCTCCCAGCTCCCCAGGGGCATCTCAGATGAGGGCTGGAGGTGCAGGAGAAGGTAAATTGTGCCTGATCACTCACTCCAGCCATTCCCTTTGGCCTCGGTTGGTCTCGATCTTTGGCCTAGACCACCATCTTCTGTCCATCCTTCCTGATACACACATGCCTGAATCCTCACCCACATGACCAGCTCACCTTCAGGAAGCAACGGGATGCCAGAAGTGACTGATAGGGCCGCTGCCTGTTCCCACTGAAGTGCTCAAACCCTAAAAAGTGAAAAGGCCTTTCAACAGCATTGTGAGGAGAAGCCTGCTTTGAGTCTGCAGGTTGCAATCTCCTAGAGGGTGGGTATTGAGTGCTGGGTCCTGCAGCTGCGCTGTTTGTGGAGTGGGCAGCGTGTTTTGTGGTGTGCAGTGATGCCGGGTGAGAGCAGCCTGACCTGCGTCCACGCCGTTCTCAGTCATTGTCAGGCCAGAGTGTGAACGCCTGAACTCATGGGTTTGCTGACCTGACCCCACCTGGCTTTGACGAGGAGGCGGGAGGCCTCCATTTCTCTTGTTGCCATTCTAGGCTTAAAATTAACATCAGCCAGAAAGAATGGCTATCATCAATGGATCAAATAACAAAATGCTGGCAAGGCTACAGAGAAAAATGAACCCTTCTACATTGTTGGTGGGATGTAAACTAGTATAAGCACTATGGAAATCCGTATGGAGATGCCTCAAACAACTAAAATTAGAAACTAGAAACTAAAAACTCCATTTGACCCAGCTCTTTCCCTTCTAGGTATCTTCCCCAGAGAGAAAGGCATGATAGTACAGTGGTCCATGCACACCCATATTTATAGCAGCACAATTCACAGTAGCTAAATCTTGGAAGTAGCCTGTATGTCCACCAACAGATGAATGGATAAAGAAAATGTGATGTTTATATACAATGAAGTACTGTTCTGCTATATAGAAGGATAAATTTGAGTCACTTGTAGGAAAATGTATGTATCTTGAAACCATAATGTTAAGTGAAACAGATTAGACACAAAAGCGTAAATATTACATGGTTTCTCTTATATGAGAGATCTAAAATATAAATAAAGAGCAAAATAAGAGACAATGGAAATAGGGAAAAGGGGGTGAAGAGATGGAGGATTGGAGAGGGAAAGATGGAGAAGGGGATGTGGTATGTATGTGTACCAACTCCCTACAGTGAATGTAATTACTATGGGCTGCAAATATGTACTAATAAAAATACCATCTCCAAACAAACAAACAAATTAACATTAGACAAACCTTGTTAGGTTGACAGTCTGAGACACAAGTCACAATCATGGGATCTTGGTAGGTTTTAGCACTTATTAGTTGAAAGAGAAAGTTGAAACCAACTGTATCAAATATATAAATATTGCAATCACTTTTAAAAAAATATTCCACATATAAATAAGGAATACAATATTTTCCTTTCTGTGTCTGACTTATTTTACTCAGTATAATATCCTCCAGGTTTATCCATTTTGTGACAAATGGCCACATCTCCTTCTTAAATGCAAAATTATAGTCCACTCTGTGCATGTGTGGTGTGATTGAAATATACAGTGAATGTTTAAAAAATTTTATTACACTAAAAGATACACTGCCATTCATTTCCCCCCAAATCCTTCCCCTTCCTTTGAACACACTTGTCTCATTGTTCTTGCCATTTTCTGAAGCAATTCTGGAAGTTTTCTTTCATGAGGGTCTTTATAAGGTGTGATAAAAAATACAGTGACTGTTGCTGCTGAGTGCCAGCCAACAGAAAGGCAGCTCCTAAAAACATTACAGTGTCCCTCACCCACTGTATTCACTGAATCTGGCATCGTGTGGTTTCTGGTTCTTCCTTAAAGTAAAAATGACCGTGAAAGATAAGTGTTTTGAATCAGTTCAGGACACAGAGGCAGCCACGAGAGCTCAATTTCAGTGGCAACAGTCATGAGACAGGACTTCCAGAACTGCTTCAGAAAGCGGCAAGAAGGATGGGATATATGTTTTTGAAGTGAGGGAGAGCATCTTGAGAGGGGATTAACAGTAATTTTTAAATTGTAATAAATAAATAACATTCACTGTAGTTTTCTAGCATACTTCATATGTATACCATTTTTAAATTCATTTATTCAGTGATGGACACTGATATTATTTTCATTTCTTGGCTTGTTGTGAATAATCCTTCAGTGAACATGGGAGTGTGAATATCTGTATGCAGTGATGATGTCCTTTTTATGAGATGATGATTTCATTTCTTTTTTGCCTATATACTCAGAAGAAAGATGCTGGGTCATAGAGTAATTCTGTTTTTCTTTTCTTTGGGAACGTCCATACTGTTTTCCATAATGACTGTACCAATCTACATTCCTGTCAACAGTGTACTACGTTCCCCATTTCTGCACACCCTTGCTAACCTGTCAACGTTCCTTTACTGATGTGTGTTCTCCTCCTGGCTTCTCTGGCACCAAGCACTCTTGGTTTGCCTCCCCACCATGCTGCCCCCTTCCCTGTCTCCCTCTCATGTGGAAACCCTGAGCCCTCTTCTCTTCTTCCTCTAGACTTTCTCTGGGCAACCTCAGTTGTTCCTGAGCAGCTTGTGTGTTCCCGTGACTGCATCTAGTTCTGACTTCCTTTGTGTGATCTAGATGTTTCTATGTGACAATATTCTGGACACATCCTCTCTGGTGGTGCCAGACACTTTTAACTTGAAGTGTCCAAAATTAAGTCCTTAATCTTTCCCCACTACCCGTTTCCCTCCCATATCTGCTCTTATTTTCCACTTAGTAGGTAGCACCACTATGTACCCTGTTGCCCATTGAACTTCGAGTTTGCCAATTCTACCTCTAAAATACATACTAACTCCATTTCCACGTCTTACCAGAAGCCAACTTCATCTGTTATTGTTGTCGCAATAGCTTCTTGTCTCCCCACGTCTCCTTTTATATTTCTCCTATTCCTTCAACACACTGTAGTCAATGTAATTATTAAAGGCAAAAATTTGATCGAGTCATTGTTTACCATTGCTGTTAGGATAAAACACCAAATAAACACACAACCAATGAGACTGCATCTGATCTGGTTTCTGCCAAATCTTGCCAGTCTTCTCTTTGCTTACCATATCCAGCTGCGGAGCCTTCTCCCAGTCCTGAGTATGCTTTGAGCTTTCTCCTGCTCTGAGACTTCCCATGTGCTATTCCTTCTGCCTGGAATTCTGTTCCCCACTTTTCACCTGACTAATTCCTATGTGTAGGTCATGTCTCAGGAATGAGGTTCCCACAGCATAAATGCACTGAAAGCTTCCTCTGCTTTTCTATCCCTCGTGGCTCTCTGTTCCTAAATGCTCTCACTGTTCTTAATTCTGTCCCAGAAAATATGAATTCACTCACTAAAGGTGAGATCAGGTGGACCTGGAAGGTTATTTCTATCATCTGTGTGTATTTGGTTAAACAAATATTTATGGGACCACAACTATGTGTGAGGCTTTCATAGGCCTCTTCTTATTACATTCTTACGACAATTTCTTACAGTGGATTTTAGTATTACTACTTTATGGTGAGAAAAATGAGGTTTGGGGAATTAAATGGCTCTAGGTCACAGAGCTAAAACTGCTGTCTTTTCCTTCTGCTATGGTAATTGCATTTTTAAGATCATGAATTCATATGTAAAATGAACACAGCCCAGTGTTGACTTATGCCTGGTACGTCTCCTTTTGGAGGACTTCAGCACACATTTTAAGGGATTCTGTTTTATAAGAGGAAGATGCTAGTGGCCCAAAGATCCTGCAAATTGTCCAGAATTTAGCCAGGCCCTGTGTTTAGGAGGGGAGCGCACGTGATTCACTCTGCATCAAGTCAGGCGGAAACGTGGTCCCGCCCTTCTAGACAGACATCTGTTCAAATATAAATTTCCTGTTTATGGAGGCTGCTGCTCTATTGAAGTAAAGGTCTCGATACGGCCGAACAAGTCAATCATTTTAAACCTTGTTAGTGTGACAGCCCCTTGTGTATTGTTTAACTGGAAATGAAACACAAATACGCCAAACCCCTGCAGTATCCGCTTCACGGTGCATAAATCCACCGTGCATCATGTCACTTGAAATTTGATGGCAAGCTACCAAATGGCAGAAAAGACTTCATCCTCAGAGGACTATGCAAATGAGGCAGGCTTGGAACAATGAGGGGAGAGGGCAAAGCCTGTTCTTTGCTCCCCTCCAGGTCCTTCCCAGAAAGACTTCCCTAGGGTCACCCTTAGTGGCCACTGGTGAATTATCCAAATACAAATGACCAGTGTTTAGTTCCACATGCATATCTGCCCTCAGATCTCTGCTAAATAGGATCGAATCGTTCTTCTTGCTCTCTGCTAGCCAGGCTGTGTTATTATTGCTTGCAGCAAAACCTCCTCAGACCCTTATTAAGCTGTTTTAATTGCTTTCCTTGGTTTGCTTTCTCTTCTAATCCAACCTCAGAGGTGAGGAGGAATGATCTGCTCTTAGTTATGCTAAAACAAAGATGCTCATCTCCCCCGCTCCCCCCCTCCCCGGTTCATCACACATCCATGCCATAGAAAGCCTTGCTGTTTCATTTGGGAAGATCTGAGCCAGCCCAGCAGTCTGCTGATAATAGGTCTGGACTTTGGTTAAATCATTTTGCCACTGATCATATTTTCTTGGTTTAGGTTTTCATGGAGAGAGATTTCTTTGTAGCCAGCTTTCCTGGGAAGATTTATTCAGAAATCATTAGAATCAGAGTTGGAAGTCTGAAGGGATGACACTCTTCCAGTTGCTGGTTTCAAGTGGGTGAAATAATTCAAAACTAACTGTTAGCTTACAGACCCAGCCCTGTGGGTCACGGCCCAGCCTGTCAGGTATTGGGAGGTTGGCATGTGCAGGGGCGGGTCCTGAAGGACCTGGCTATGAAGCTTGATCAGGTAGGGCACTGGGGAAATGAGTGGCATTGCCACATGGAGCAGCAGGAGCCTGGCAAATGACACAGGAGTTAGAAATGGTGGCCCAATGATGGAGGTCCACTTGCAAAGAAATCATTGGCTTCCTCACTGATTCTTTAGGAGTATTTAAGAGGGGCTCTGAGTTTCTTAAATGCTCAATGTGCCTGACAAGCTTGCCTGTGGCTTTCTTGAAAACAGTGAATGATCTTTTTACCTTTGTCAGATATAACCTCCCCTTTATTACTAAATTCAGTGGTATCTCAGTTTACGAATTTAATTCTTTCCACAATTCTGGTCACAAACCAAATTGCATGAGAACTGCATCAAATCCAATGGTTAGGTTCAAAGTTGACCTCATGGGGAAGTTTGATTCAGTTCTCATCCAATTCGATTTGTGACCAAAATCTTGGAAAGAATTAAGTTCATGAACTGAAGCACCACTAGACCTCTTTTTTGAGCAAAGGAGGACTTTATTAAATATTGTAATACAATTTATTCCTATCCTTCCTTAAGACTATCTCTCTTTAACCTTTGAGGAGATAAGACATGGAAAGACATATACCATATAACATATAATATTTAAAAACATTCTTATGATAAGCTCTTGAAATATCCAGGCAATGAATGAAAATATTCTTGAACCATTTTAGGTTAGGTGTACCTTACGAGTTATAAAACATCAGGTTCTATCTCTTGATGAAGAGAGAAAACATGCTGTGTTTGGAAGGCAAATAATTGTTGTCTTGAAGAACATTTGGTTTTGGAGGAAATGTGTTGATTTCTCAGGGAAAAACAGCTTATTTTCTCATTTCAGAATGGGGCAGTTGCTCAAAAAATATTTTACATGACCAGAAATAGGTTAATCTTTGTAGACTTCAAAACTAGTTTTTTTTTAAGATTAATTTTATTGGTACATTTTAGGTGTACAATATAATGACATTTATCATTGGAAATTTGCACCTTTATATAATCTCTCTTGGTTCTTATTTTTCCCCCCAT